TCGGCCTTATGCTTTCTATAGGCTGGCGAATATTATATCGAAAACGTGCTTCGTGGTAAAGGCTTGGAAAAGAAAGCCCACAAGTTGGCAGCCCAAGAAATTGCCTCTGAAAGCATGGAAACAAACATTTCTTCATAGATCACATACGTTATTTTATTATCAACTACACTACTCTGGTTCTAATGATGATACAATGACAGTAAGACTTAAACGATCTTTCTCTACAGTAAAAGCAAAATGACTTATTTGAGAACCACCAGCAGATCGAATAACTGCTTGAGCCGGACGACTCGTCATTTGAGACCCTTGAGCACAAGCGTCTGCTAACGAAAAATGTACAGGAATCTGTGATACCGGCTGCGTTGAAAGAGTGATATGAAGGGTCAAAGGCAAAGCAGTGAAAGATGAGCTGTTTGGAGTGACAGCAAATAGAGCGGGGGGTGGATTCAAATGTTGGCGGAATGCCAGAGGACTTTCTGTTGTCTTTGTTAAACCCCAATTAGTCAAGATGACCATTGGTTTATGAGTGCTGTAAAACCGACATAATGCTGTTACAACATGGTGGAAAGGATTGGAAACCCTGTGAGCAGCTGTTGACCGTAGCTGCTCGGCAGTAAAACGATCTGACCAGTGGAAAGCACTTATAGAGTCTATCGCCAGGATGCCAATTTCAGATTCTGATAGTTTTGTTCGATGATAGGATGGTAGATAGAGCAACGTCTCAGCAAGTTGCGTAGAGGAATTGGGGGAAAACAGATGAAGATTTCGTAGCGATCGTTCTACGAGTAGTTGTACAGCGTCAGATTCACTTGGGGTCTTCATGATAGCGGCCAAACGCGACGTTAACAGGTGCTTGAACCGAGCTAAATCAAAAGATGCGTCTGTGTTGAAGAGCACAGTGACTTTGTCCCATCCGCCAATGGTCACCGACGAGTATGTAGTGGGAATGATGCAGGCTATCATTAGAAGATACAGCAAATGCGTTTTGCCTGAACCAGGCTGGCCTACTATTTCGAGTACATCGCCCAAGTGAAGAGAATCAAGAGGCGTCTCCTGACGCGTCGAAGAGTGGTGCGCGTCGAGATCTATGTTTAACGGAGGGGAATCTGTCGGACCAATGTAAAAGATTGAGTTAAACAACGTAGACTCGGGGATACAGACCTTCACATCGCACTTGAGCTAGAAGCTGGAAGAAAAACAGAATCCGTCAAAGCTCGTAACGGTCCTGAGCAGAAACTTACGGTTTGTAGAGATTCAGACTGCACTTCTTGAATCATACGATTGAAATCCATGGCGCAAAGTCGGACTCGGCGGCGACGGCTACTGTGTGATGGGCGTGTCAATTTGTCAGCTGCATCGCAACTCGCAACTTACTCTCGCTGGATGGAAAAATTATAACGGCCAATACTCACAAATATCCATCGTCTTTGACAGACTTTTATATACCTTTTCACGATTACGACGACTTTTGACACGATAAATTCAAGGAAATATGACTACAACTGTCCCTAGAGCAAATCCTAAACGTCCTGCAACTCTATCACCAACTCCCTCTTCATCCATTGCCCGAGGCGCAACAGCTCGTTCAGCCGCAAGCCCACGTTCAGCTTCCTCTCTGAACTCTGCGGCTGCCCGAAAGCCCGCTTCCAGGTCGTCTTCCGTCTCGATACAAAATGGAGAGGCAATGGAGAATCTTGCTGCTGAAGCGAAAGAGGCAACGGAGAGAAAGGAACAGGTAAGATTTATTTCTTGAGCTCTGTGCAACCATATATTGACACGCGCACAGCTCATGGTGCAGTTACAAGATAAAGACCAAATAATCTCGAACCTGACCAAAGACACTGACAACCTTACGTCTGCCCTGCATGCCGCGGAAACCCGCTTGAATGAGCTTTACGCAGAACAGGGTCGTTCGGAGCAGGAGCTTTCTCAAAGAATCGATATATCTGAGAAACTTCGAACCCAGGTGTGGGAACTGGAGAAGGAGAAGAGGGACCTTTTGCGAAGGTATAATGAGCAGGTTTGTTATGTTAACTTCATTTCCCAAACCATGATTACTGATTAGTTTACGTTAGACTTCTACCTTCGACGCAGAGCGCCAAGCTTTCTACGACAACGAGCAACACCTCAAGTCTCGTATACAATCGTTATCACAGGCCCGCAGAAAGCCTGAAATTCCCACTAGTACAGCTGACGCTGAATCAGAGGTGGAGTATGAGGAAGAAGAAACCAAAGTAGACCCCGACCCCGAGTCCGAATCTACGAAGCAGGACATGAACGACCCTGAACAAGAGCCAGCGGAGATGACTGCTCTCAGATTGGAGCTGTCCACGTTATCTACGTCCTATTCATCCCTCCAGAGTACCCTTGTTCTCTTGCAGGGGCAATTGGTTGATCTCAACAGAGTCAACAAGCAGCTGCAGGAAGACAACGAGAGCTATATGATCTTGCTCCAGGAGAGGACGTTGAGCGGTCAGTTTGACCTCTTGAAGCAAGTCGGAGGAGGAGGCGACGATGACGATGACGAATCTGATCGGGGTGATGTTGGAAGTCTTCGCAGTACGGGACGTAGCACACTGGATAGAGTTGAAGAAGAGATACCAGAGACTAATGGCTCCTTAGCGGACGAGCTTGGTGGGAGCTTTCATGTATCTCAAGACGAACCCGATTCTCGTCTTGGACGACCACGGGTGGGTCGCACTCGCAGTTCCTCTGTGTCTCAATCGTCCGATGCGCCTCGAGGCGAATCACTCGCTGACCTACCCATCACTGGCCCTGGACTTGACCTCGCAGCAGAACTGGGTCGTGCTGAGAACAAGGATATACTCGAGGGTAATGTCGATGAAACCGTTCTAACTTCCAAGAACAAAAAATCGAGAAAGGACTCGAAGGGAGCTGGCTTTGTGGATTCTTCTAGTGACGTTCTGGCACTGCGCTCCGAAGTCAAGGCACTTAAAGACGCCAACAAAGCACTGTCGTTGTACGCCTCGAAAATCATCGACCGTATTATTGCTCAAGAGGGTTTCGAGCATGTTTTAGCAGTCGACTACGATAACGAGCCTGCCACTCCATCCACTGCGGCACCTAAAACCGCTAAGCCGCGTCCCCAATCAGTCATTGTTGGTCGTTCCATGTCAGTTTCTGGCAGCGAATCTCCTCGACCAAATGCCGGTTTCAATGTCCCAAAGCTAGGAACACCTAATCCCTCCACCAAGGCCTCCCGTCGATCTTTATCGTTTGATTGGAAAGGTTTCTCCATCTTTAATAACGCTGAAAAGAAGCCAGAGCCCAACTTGCGTCCTCTCACTTTGAAGCCCGGTGCTAGTTCGGTCACCGGCGCACGAAAATTAGATACCACCGAGGACGAAAATGATCGACGCGAACGAGAGAGAATCAACGCCACCATGAAACTCATGGGTATTGAAACACCCACTTCGCCTGCTCCAATGCAGAAGGCATTTTCCTCACCTGGTCCCGTGGCGCCTCCCCCCAGTGCTCCTGCGACCAACAGGCGATTCTCCTTCTTTGGTACCAAAACGCCAGTGTCTGAACCAGCTTCATCCCCCCCTTCCACCCGGGCCCCTTCACTCAACGGCGGCTCGCTAGGGTTCGAGACTCAGGGCCTTACACATGAAGCACTTGAACATGCCGAGGCTGAAAACAGTTTGGCAGCTTTGGATGCTCATGAACGTTCTCTGAGCTCCGAGATTGCGAAAGGCTCAAGTGGCGGCTTTACGGAAATTAGACGAAGCAGCCGTCGTAGCAGACGAAGTGCTGGACAGAGCGGTGGCGGTAGCGACAGTGGGAGGAGCACTGTTTGGAGTGCGGGCATTGGCGAAGACGATGAATAGACAGGTTTTATATTTTCATATCTCATATACCTCTGGATGGCATCACACAATAATTTATCAGGAATCTTTCTGAATATGTCTCTCCGTTCAACTGTTACAGTAGGTCTGTACTCTTGTATACCCAAATAATGCCAGGATTGCTACCTAGTTACTCCCAAAATGGAACACCAGTTCCCGCGATAAGCGACCATGGTTTTCTGAGTGAGGCATTGGGATCTACAGCCATAGTGGATTTCGAGCCTGTGTAGGAAGGAGACAGCGCTATGATAGGACGCGTTTTACTAGCGTATTCTGTGCATGGGTGCGGATGGTTTCAAATGGGTTGGAGGAAAACTGAGGATTAGACAAAATGTGTGGGTGACGCAGTCGCTCAATTTGCCTGCATTTATCAAAGAAATGAACATATGAGTTTGGATGAGCGACAGCAATACACACAGTGCTTTTTTCCGCTGAGCGTTTGAGAGAGTGGTGCCTTTCCCTTCACCGATTTTGCTTGATTTAGATTTCGACTGGGTTGTTGATTTTGCGGCATCCTCCTCTCCGTCGACCTGCATTTGCTGCGATTTCGATCCTGCAGCAACGGATGGCTCATTGGCTGTGGTCAATGAGGCTTCGACGGTCGGTAGTGCATCACGTATATCTCCCAATCCTTGTCCTAGCTGCTCCTTTATCTTTCGTTTCAGACGGCGCTGATGGGATTTCGAGTATGGAGACTGCGTCAATTCAACTCTCCGCAAAAAAGCGTCACGCTTCAGCTGTTGCTTGTCCTTCTTTTTCAAGGTAGGGGCTATTTCCGGTCCCGTATCTGGAGTCAGGATTTCCTCATTATTGGTCTATAACATAGTCATATATACATGTTCATATCTCAAAGATTGCTCGAGTACTAACACCTGGGTCAGGTCCTGAATCTTCTATGGCAATGACATCTTCAGATTTGCGCTTGGGGAGCTTCACTGAAGAATTATGCGAAGTGGATCTTTTGGTTCTTTCTTTGGGCTAAAATCAGCTATTGGTGGCATTCTTTTGGGGACCAAAAACAAGACTAACCATAATGTGGATAAAGGAAGACAAGGCCGAAAAGGTGCAATGGCGATCGGCCAAAACAATGAACGAACGGTACATGTACTATAATTAACGAATGTTAGTATCGCTTCCTTAGCTCAGTCGGTAGAGCGCCAGTCTCATAGTCTGAGAACTTTTCAGAGGTTTATAATCTGGAGGTCGCAAGTTCGAGCCTTGCAGGGAGCATCAGAAGCTAGCTGGGTTTAGCTGTTTTTTTCTTATTATTTTACTTGTTTCGATAATAACCAGTCAACGACCAGGAACGTATGGGCTTCAGGGTAGGGTCACAGCGAGAACGAATACTCGAGACATTGATATTGCTATTAACTTTGATACTCTGCGTACTCTTCAATGACGCTTCGAGGCTTTCTGAATATCCCTAACGACTTGTAGTCAATATCCATCCCGAAAGCTCGAGGTCCGCCAATCTCAAGCCCCCTTTCGCTCGACGTCCATTTATCTGATCCTTGAATACCAATAACAAACACCAGCAGTCCATAACGATACTCTGGTGTACCGATAGCCTCTCCCGTCAAAGCATCACAGACACAGATGAGGTCTGGTACAGAGGCAACGACTCGTTCATCATTTCCGGAATCGGACAATGCAATAGCAACGAGGTTTTCGTTCTTGAATGGGATTTTCAGTTTTCCAACAGATGAGGTGCTGTTGAGTCCGCCACCAGAAACATCTGCTGCACTGATCAACACCTCCCCATAAGAATGCCCTTTAACCGTTTTCCTTTCTACGCCGATAATTTTGCCCTTAAATAAGACCTTCGCAGCATCCTTACCCCCGACTTCATCAATGATTGCCTCAGCAATATGGTCAATGTCGTTCCGAGCGCGACAGAGAACTACCGCACGTCCAATTCTCCATGAAAGGGATATAGTATTTTCAATGATCCAGGTTTCATATCTTTTCCTGAGCAAGGACCTTTCGCACATCCGACGTGGCTGCCCATTTCAGACAAAGCGGCACGAAAAGCGCGTTCGATTTGATTTTCGCTCGTTGCGGCAAGCATTAGCTGTGGGAAGAGTTAGTTAGTTATCCAATTATACAAGATCACCGAAGTATCCAACCATATGGTTTCCGTTACCGTCAGATATGGAAGTAGGCAGGAACACGGTATGGTCTCCTCCCCAGACAACAGGTGTTATTTGCCATCCGACGGGGTATGCACGACCCATCCAGTCTCCGTCAACAGTGGGGATATTCATGTTCGTTGATGCCCCAAGGATCAAGCCTAATAATGTATTTGAGTACATGGTGCTATCACGATGAGTGAACAAAAATCACCTTGTATTCCGTTTCCACCGCCAATCTCAAAATCCATCACAGCAGCAGGTTTGACACCAAGGTATTTGTAGACAATATCCTGAGCTTCCATCATCCTGTGAATTTCACCTTTGAGCGTCACTTCGAAAATGGGGCAAGCATCCAGCACCTACTCATTTCCAGGAGGTTTCTCCATACTAACTGTGGGGCTACCCATAGCCCCGCCGCAAGCGATGTTATCTTCGTCGCCTACCCATCCAGGCTCAACTACTCTAACTATAGCCCCTCGTCTCATCATGTCTCGTAGACGGACAAAATGTGGGTACGGTGTACCACCACCTCCTGTACCCAAAATATAACATCCGAGAGAAATCCACTCTAGATCTTTTTCGGAGAGATGCCATTCGTAGTGCGTTGAGCCAGTGATGGGCTTTCCAGGTGATGGTACGATGGTGGGGATATAAGATGCAATGTCGAAAGAAGTGTTCGGGCCAGCTGCCGATGGAGTAGTTGCTGATAATTTTCCGGGGACGGTCTTCTCCGAAAACTTGACAGCAAATTCTGATTCGGCATGCGATGCGGAAAGAGGAATTGTGTCCGATACACGAGAAAAGTCAAAGTCACCAATCGCTTTGACAATTACTCGAATTTTGCTTGCTACGTACTAAGTAATTCGTGGTTTAGAACCTTCAAATAGTCAGATGTAAAGAAAAAGGCCCACTGGAACAGGTATGGCGTCCATCTCAGCGACTTCCACCGTGTCGCGTACAGCCCCAGCGGTAACAGCCCGTTCGATTGCGATATCAGAAACCTCTTGCAAGATGGCCTGAGTGGTTTTTCCCTCGGTACTGAGAACTGTGTCGACTACACCCGATACACGAGCGATTGCTGTTTCGGGATTTGGTATCAAGCGCTGATCTGTGACTATCTATGGGGACTCACCAGCACCAATAGCGTTTGCGACACCAGCGTATTCTGGCATGATAACGCTACTCGCTCCTTTCAAAGAGACTGTTCCATCCTCGTCGGGCGATATAATCATCGCACCTCCTCCAACCATTAGCACAGGTACATCTTCAATTGAGGTTTTCATGCAATCGATGATTTCCTCGAGCTTGAGTTTTACTGTGGCTTGGTATACTGAAAGTAACTTGACCAGGTTGCAACCTTTGCTGTCAGCAAGTTTAAGGAGGCCATCTTCAGCTAATTGCCTAGTTCCTATATCGGCACGTGAGTCTGGAGGTTGTGAAACAACAGCATAGTCGGTAGTGGTAGGCAGGTCCCCGCCGAATACTAGAGCATGTTGTGTAATGAGATGACCTACAGAGTCAGGTCCTATGGTAAGCTGAGCGTTGTCGTTTGCGTCTGCAATGCGAACGATAGAACCGCCACCGAGACCAATGCTAAGGTGCGGTCGTATACTGTACACGACTAGAAGAATATGCAACATACCTCTTGACATCTGGACAGGAAAAGTTCAATCGAACTCCAGCTATTTCACTCACAGCTGCTGCTTGCCTCGGTAGCCCACTGGCAAGTAACATACCCACGTCTATACTGAGATCAAACACGACACTATCGTGTTTCCGAAAGATACTTACCAGTCGACGTGCCACCAATATCAATGACAAGCATGCTTTCCTTCTTGATATTTGATTTGCAAAGGAAAGCGGCACCGCACATGGAATTTGTGGCCCCGCTGTTGAAGGTCCTGATAGGTAGCCTCGCAGCATCTGTGGCCTGTAAAATTGTTCCGTCGTTTTGCGTCAAGAATACAGGACAGGTAAGTTTGAGACGGTAGATGGCTGATTGAAAGGAGGAAATTGTGTGACGCGCGAAGGATAATATGGCCGCGTTCAGAACCGCAGCGTTCTCCCGTTCAATAAAACCTAGATTGGCAACTGGACAGACCTGTTATGCGATGTCCTAGACAGAACCTCATCTTCCGTACCTTCTTTCGAAAGCACGACGTTCGCCTCAGGGTAATATTTTTCGATCCATTCCCCAACCCTTTCTTCCTGCCTTTCTCCGGCAATATCCGCAGGCGAAAATATCCCATTGACCACGATATTCTGTATCCCCATTGATTTAATCCTCGCGCATTCCTCTTTAACCTGAGCTTCAATCGGCTCTCGAATCACTGCACCATCAATTTCAAGTCCCCCATCCAAAAACGCGGCGTATGCGCATATGTAGTCCCGTAAATCTTCGGGCCAGTCAATTCCAGGTGGAACCGACTGGGAAAAAGGACCACAGAGCCGAAGAACAGCGACCGGTGCCAGCCTTGATTGATCCTTTTCAATAACAGCATTGATAAAATGCGTCGTTCCAATCGTTATACTGGCTATTCTACTTGGATCTACATTCGCTTGCTGAAGGAGAACGTTGATGACTGTCTCGATACCTTGGCTTGTATTAGCTGTTGTGGGAGACTTGTGCCAGGCGATTATTGGGTGATTTTGGGAAGATGGATCGAGGATAACCGCGTCAGTGTTCGTACCCCCAACATCGACGCCAATGCGGAGAATAGAAGCCATGGCTGTATCTGGGCTGTATCGATAAGGACTAATTGTGACCAAAGTCCAAAGATGAAAGTCACGGAAATCTCACATGACTGAACATGACTTGATTACTCGAGCGCTTATTTTCAGCTGTGCCGCATTCCTCCATGTCCGAATCCGACAAACCTACCCCAGAACGTTCTTTAAACCGCCAGCTAGTCTTGGATGAAGACGAATACACGGCTGCCATCTCACAAATTATTGCCCGTGACTTTTTCCCCAATCTGGTTCATTTAGATGCCACAAACGAATATCTTGATGCCTTGAATTCTCGGGACCCTCATCTCATCGGTGCCAGTGTGCGGAAACTTGAACAAGTCAACAATACTCCACTTGTAGGCTCTAGCAGGCGATATCAGACTCCTTCCCAAACGCCGTATGGTTTCGGGCCGTCAGACACACCACTTGCTCCATCCCGCAGAGAGGGCGAGCCAGCTGCAAAGAAACCAAAGTATGACACGTCTTTATCTTTGGACACTTTCCAGGCCCGCTATACCTCGGAAGATAATTCGAGTTTCACGGAGATTCTCGATGAAGAGAACCGGCAGCGGAAGGAAAAGTGGGCTTGGGCTTGGGATGCGCAAAGGAGGGTAGATGAGAAGAAGCTTATCGCTGGTGTAGAACGGGAACGAATGATGATTGAGCCTCCGCCGGGCTCAACACCTGGAGTAAGGGAGAGGTTTGTCATTGCGGCTCCAACGCCAAAGGGGTTGATAACTGCTTCAGAAGAAGGAAACCAGCAGGAACAGGAGCAGAAGGAACAGGAGAAGACAGAACAAGCATTAGCTCTAATCAAGGGAAAGGAGAAGGAGAAGGAAGAGGAACAAGATGTCATGGCACCAAAAAAGGACAAACGGACTGCTGGTGTCGATGGTTGGCATTTCAAAGCACGAAATTCACTCATGTTCCCTCCAGATGCCGATTCTTCTCCGTATCACCAGAAACCCAAAAAATCTCCTCCGATTCCTAGTAATGAAGCGAGAACCATAGCGTATGATAGTACACGACTAGCGGAGCAGGACTATTCATCAGACGTCAAGAGGCCGTTGAGCGAACCACCCAGTCCAACGAGGAGCAGAATCAACGCCGCGATTGCTGGCACACCTTGTAAGTCTTTCGGGGTTGTCGTTCTGTACTTACTAACAACACATCATAGATCACCCAAGAGAAGGCTCTGTATCATCGCCGTCGTCATTTTCTCTTGTTCCTTCTGTCCCATCACCAACGCCCGAACAGCTTGGTCCAGCAGCTGTAAAGCAGCTAATGACTTGGGGAACTTTGAATGCAACACCTCGAGTCATATCTTCTGATGATCCCGATGCGCCCAGTCCCGGAACCCCGTTCCAT